CAGGCATAGTTTTGTCCTCTACCCAAGGACCTTTTTCAGGGGGAACCTATTGGTCCTCCTCATGCTGTGGCTGAGATGAGGCGAGCAAAAGCCTGAAGGACCATCCTTCTGGAGCTCTTGTATTGACATCTCCCTGCCCGTCACGTACTCGGAGGGGAAATAGACCAGTGCTTTCACTTCTCCTGAGGCTCCTGAAGCAGGAAGCAGCGAACAGATAAATGCCTACTGGGCATGGAAGTGGTAGTTATGATTGACGTGTAAAGGAAGCTCCTCCTAACCAGAAGGAAGAAGATGGCATCATTTCTGATCCTCTCTCTCGCTAAAATAGAACCTGTTTGTTTTTTGTTTTGTTGTTTTGTTTTCCTCAGAGGAGAGTTAGCTCTCTTCTACCTACAGTAGTGGCCAAAATTGTGGAAACCTTTTGGGAAAAGTGTATTTTTGAGGTTTGATGGCTAATAACACCACTTTTTTGGAGGAGTTTTAAGATAATCCTATTCTACTGCCGGAATGGCCTGGGAATAGCCCAGACCTTCACCCAATTGAAAATCTAGGGAGCAGACTAAAGAAACTTGTTAGTCAGAAGCGACCCAGCAATAAAACCCAGTTAATAGAAGCCATCATTTAATCTTGGTTTCACATTATAACAGCTGCAGAACTAAAAGACTTGGTTCCCTCCATGGGAAGACATTGTAAGGCCGTCATTCATGCTAAAGGTTACCCCAATTAAGTATTCAATGACATGGTGATAATTTTTGTATATCTCATTTTTTTCTATGTGTTTCACTTTTCTCCTTTATACTGTAACTGCTATTCTAATAGCAAACCCTTCATAAAAGTTTTTGCATTACATTCTTGATTAAATTATCTTTCCATCGATATATAATTTTATGGTACTAAATGGTGAAATCCAAATTTTTTTACTACCGGTTCTGTGGGCGTGGCTTAATGGGCGTGGTGTGGCTAGGTGGGCATGGCTTGGTAGGCGTGGCAAGGGAAGGATACTGCAAAATCTCCATTCCCCCCCCCCACTCTGGGGCCAGCCAAAGGTGGTATTTGCTGGTTCTCGAACTACTCAAAATTTCTGCTACCGGTTCTCCAGAACTTGTCAGAACCTGCTGGATTTCACCCTTGGTACTACTCCCCCCAAAAAAGTGGTGTTATTAGCTAGTTTTATGAAAATACACTTTTCCCAAAAGTTTTCCACACTTTTGGCCACTACTGTAGATGTTCTGCTTTGGGGATTCTAACTGGCTTTGAAAAGAAGTCACTTGGAAGAACCGAGGGTAGGCTATTCGACGTCCTGTTGAGAGATTTAAATTTACTGACGTTTTTTTGTGGTGAAATAGTACAGGGTTTCCTGTCTATGGAGATTCTCAGTCCATCCAGGTGATGGTTGACCCAAAGGTACTTTTTCAAGAACCAACTGGACTTTCTGGTTTTTCTTTGAAGACGTTTCGCTTTTCACCTAAGAAGCTTCTTCAGCTCTGACTGGATGGTGGGAGGAATGGAAGGATTTATACTCGTTGCAGACAGCTGGTTATTTGCATTCTTTTAGCGAGTTGTTGAGGCTACCTGTGTCGTCAGGGTCACCTGAGTGGTGGCAAATGAGTGTGAAGCCTTCTTGGAACTGTTAAGAGTCTCCTGCTTGAACAGGGAGTTGGAGTAGAAGACCTCCAAGATCTGTTACTCTGTTATTCTGCTTCCTTCACAGGCCACTTTCTTCACCAAAAAGCTGACCTTTCTGAAGGAATAAACAATGTTCTAAATATCAGCTAGCATCTGCTGTTTCCAGATGGGAAACCACCTTATCTAATTTGCATCATTTGCATGACGACATCATGACCCCTGTGACTTCACTGCAGCACGAACCAGATTGCTTCCCTTCCGTTCAACCCAACCTTGGCAACTTTTAAAGACTTGTGGACTTCAACTCCCAGAATTCCCTAAGGCAGCCATGGGAACACTGGGAGTTGAAAGTTCAGCTTAAAGCAACTTGGACGGATGGCTGTGCAGCCTCTGGATTGGGGGGTTCAATTTTTATTTTTATTTTTGCTTACTCTGCCTTGTGGGGGAATAACGTCTGTTTGTGCAGAAACATACAGGGATACACACACACAAACAAACAAAATATCAATGCCTTTTGAATAGCTGTCTACAGGCTTGGTCCGTTGGATAAATGGACCTTGCGAAGTGATCTTAGCTTGAAGCGTGTCTGAATTGCTCTTCCTGAATGTTAGTGGGCATCTCGGAATCAAAGATACAGCAGTGGCCAAAATTGTGGAAACCTTTTGGGAAAAGTGTATTTTTGAGGTTTGATGGCTAATAACACCACTTTTTTTTTTTTTTTTAGAGTTTCAAGATAATCCTATTCCACTGCCTGGGAATAGCCCAGACCTTCACCCAATGGAAAATCTATGGAGCCGACTAAAGAAACTTGTTAGTCAGAAGCGACCCAGCAATAAAACCCAGTTAATAGAAGCCATCATTCAATCTTGGTTTC